TTTGATTTCCTTTTAAATTTTAATATCATTTATCTATTTGTTATTTTCATTCATAGCTTATTAGAAAGGAAATCCAAAGAATAGACCAAATATTCAACAAGTCTTAAAAAATTTAATAAAATCAAAATAATTAGTAAAAAGGTAAGAAGATTAACTATTTATAGTAATATAATAATCTTTAATACAAATGATAGTATAAAAGTAATAGATTATAGAAAAAATTTATTTTTTTTAATAATGTTATCTCTATCATCGATCCTATTAAAATTATTGATAATATTTAAAATAAAGTATTAAAATGATGAATTCAATATAATAACTTATTTATTTTTGCTGAATCACATACAATTTGTAAATAATAGTAATTCTTCAATAGTCAGATTGTGTTTAACTTTAATAAAAAATTATTTAAAAAAATCTCAAGACAAAATATTCTCTAATCTTAGAACTATAATAGAAATCAAATATTCCTTAGAAAATCTAAATAAGGATATAAATGAATTAATATTACAAAAATTAAATTGAAATAATTTTATCAATTTTATATTTCACATAATATCATCATTATTTCTGATTAAAAATAAAATCATATTAGTATTTATAAACAATTATCATTAAAGTATTTATTAAACATAATATTTAATTAAAAGTATCAAGATTATTTTATGAACCCACTTGAATTTTTTTTAAAAATAAGATCAGTTGTAATGAGATAAATCAAATGAAAATATTTGAATATTATTTAAAAAGATTTGATATATGATTAATATTAAGAAAATATTTATTCTAAAACTAATTTATATTTAAACATTAATAATCTCTTTCTTTTTTAAAAGATATACTTGTATTTATTGAACAATATTTTTTGGGATTATTTTATTACAAAGGAATTAATAGTTAGGATTTTGAGAAGGTATTTATTGGATCCTAAAATCCTTGGATAATGAAAATCTTATAGCTTAATATATACTTGAGTATTTAAATAAACAAGGTATTAGAACATCTAAAAGTAAAAAGCAAATATTTAAATGATATATAAAATTAGTAGAAGATGAAAATATATGCAAATAATGTAATTTGAGATTATTATATAATAAAGATTTATTTATAGTTACTCAAAACAAATATAAAATATTTAGATGATACTTATAAACAGCTGAAGAAGAGATTTTACCAGTTATTATAAATTCAATTTATACTATAATAAAGGAATAGATATAGTTACAGATGAAATAAAGGCTTTTAAATAATAAATAAAAATTTATGAATGAGAAAATGCTTTAAGATAATGTAAGATTAGAGTATTTTATAAGAAATTAATATTGAAATAAAATGGAATAAAGCATTTGAATAGTATTTAAAATCTGCTGTAGATAAAAACAGAAATAGTTAATATAAAGTTAATCATATTATTAAAATAGTAAAGGTAAAGTTATTAAAGAAAAGCATCAGCAGAGAATAAAATTTCTAAGATATAATTTGCAATTGGAATAAAGAAACATAATTTTGAGTCAATCATAAGATTTTAAAAGGCTAATGAAAATAAAGATAATGATTAAAGTTAAAAATTAACACATTTTTGTAAAAAAAAAAGTAACTATTTTAATAAATTATTATAATAAAATATAATTTATAAAATAAAATCATTATTAAAACTTTATTTTAATCTTGTTAATTATAAATTTTTTCACAATCTTCTTTTTTATAAGTCTTATGAATTTTACAATTTAATTATAAGATATACCTTTATATTAAAATGAATGTACTTAGAAAATAATTTCATTATATAAATTTATTATAACTTATCTTTGATATATAATATTTTGATTAATTTATCAAATGTTATAAGTAATGCTATATTATGATATTTAAAGAATATTTAAAATATAAATTTCAATTTTTTTATGAAAGAATTAATTGATAGTTACAGAATAAAATTTTCAGATTGCTTTAAAAAGAATCATGATAAATTTAATTGATTCTGATTTTATGACTTTTGGTTTATTATGTATAATATTTTATAGATAATTTTTTAAGCATAAAATTAAAGGTTATAAGCAATTCAGTTTTTTGTAGTAATTATTTATATATAATAATTATAGATATATTACTTGTTTACTAATTGTTCACCCATGATATTTCATACTGATATTTTACTTGATTCATTATCAAAATTAAATTTTTGTGAAAATATCAATAAGATGTAATTACCATGATATATTAAATGAAAATCATATTGCAAAAAGTTTAATATATTTTTAATAAGATTAGTATATAAAAAGCATTTAAAAATATATATTATTACAAGCATTATTTATAATTATAAATAAAAATAATTTAAGTAAAAGTTAACATTTTAAAAGTGACAATTATTAAACATTAGAGCTTTTTTTTACTACTATTATTGAAAGGTATATTAATTAGTAAATCTTGTAATTCAAGATTTGTAATTTGAAAAGTTTGTAATAGTTTCTTATTATAATCTTAAATTTGTTACACAGGTTTATAAATTTCTTGATTAATATTTTGGACTTGATTTTGAGATTCTTAGTTTTTTATATTATAAGTAGAAATAAATTGTTATAAGGTGTTTATTTTTTTAGGTTTAAATACAAATGAAATTTATATTATAATGGAATATGTAAATGATGGTGATCTTTAGAATTACCTCAAGAATAATTTTGAAAGATTAACTTGAAAAGATAAAATAAAATTAGAATTTTCAAATTGCAAATATATTAAATAAAATCTTGTAAATATTATTTTTATTTTATATTTGATAAATTCTGTAAAATTTATCAATAATACTTAACTTTAATTAGAATTCTAAAAATATAAATATTTATGAAGATAATGCTAAAATTACAGACTTTGGTATTTCAAAAGTTAAAAATTATTCTACAATGCACATTGAAGTATTTGGTAAAATCACCTATATTGAACTACAAATACTTGTAGATCAAAATTTTTAATACGTTAAACCTTCAGAAATTTATAGTTATGGTGGTGTATTGATATGAAAGATTTCTAGCAGTTATCCTCCATTTGTAAATAAATATAATAATAATCAGTACCTTACAATTGCCATAATTTGTCATGAAGCCATGAAGCTACTATACTGAAAATACCAAAAGATTATAAAAAGATTCTAAACAAAGTCCAATTATTAAAAAGTATTGAAAGATTTTTTGAAGATGTGCCTTGGAAATGTTATTAAAGATGAATCAAATGAAAGTGAATATCTATTTAAAATATTAAATAGTTTATAATTTTATATCACGTATATTAACTGAATTTATTAATATAATAAAGAAAATATATATACAAACAATTTTGATCTGACTTACATAGTGACGATTCTATATAATTTGATACTTATGCGGGTTTATCTGATAAGTTTGTGCATATATGTTTTGATATTACAAGCTTCATATTTATTAATTTGTATATTATATTTTAGTATAAATTATGTAAATTACTAGCTATACATATAACGTTATAGAATTTAAAAATAAATAATTTTAAAATAAAATGATATATGATATTTATAACTAATTTAATGATACAACAATCGATAGTCTAAAAATAAGCACCCCTTTTTTGTTATAGGGGTACTTATTTTCGGGTAGTTTAAAATAAAAAGTCTGAAATATTTTCTGAAATTCGCGTTGATCAAATTTTACTTCTCAAAAAAAATGTTAAACGTACACGAAACTCATACTCTGTTAAACAAAAAAAAGAAGTGGTTCATTACGCAAAAGAATATGGTTAGAATGAAGCTGGTAGACACTTTAACCTTAATATGACCATGGTAAGACGTTGAGTAAATGCTATCGCTTGCTGGATGAATGAAGTGAACAAAACAAGTAAGCACGTTAGTTCTGGCTGAAAAGCTTTTTTTTAGAAACAGAAGAAAAGCTGTATACGTGGATAATAGAACAAAGGAAACAAAGTTTTGCAGTTATCTATGGAACTATACGAAACAGGATGTTTGAATTTTAAAAGAACCGAAGCTGTTGGTTCTTTATGGTGATTTAATGGAAGAATTTAAAACGTCTCAGCGCTGCATTCATGGCTTTATGAAAAGGTATAAGCTTGCACTATGTAAAAGAACTAGAATATCCCAAAACTTCCTGACAAAACTCGAGAATAGTTAGAAAGTTTTTATAATTTCGGTACTAACTTAAGAATCAAAAAATGTTTTGAATTAAAAAACATTATTAACATGGACGAGACGCCCGTGTGGTTCGACATGGCCAGTATTTATACAGTTAACTTGAAAAAAGAGAGGACAGTTCATGTCCGAGCAACTTGAAATGAGAAAAATCGATTTACCGTTGTTCTTACGATTGCTGCAAGTATTTTTTTCTTTCTGTTGTACAATAGAGTATATGGAAAATCGGGACGGTTCGATTCTGCATATAATAATAAAACGAATTCTGAAATTCGTACTGCGGTCATAATTGCATAATCACTAGTCCAGTTAATATATATCTAAACTACATAAAATTAAAGAAATCATTTAAAACAATAATTTATTTTAGTCTAATGCATTTGTCCTTCAATAAAAATTTTTTAAATTGTGAATTAAATATAATAATTTGCGATAACAAACGTCTATTCTAGTCTCGTGATTAGTACGAAAGAATTGTACCGTACAAAAAATTAAATAGAAAATTGGAAATTTTGCAATGCGATATATGTTTGAAAAGTAAGTTAGGAAGAGAGAAATTAATTGATAAAAATTTTGTCTAATATTCTTGAAATGCACAATTTGGTCATTCTATTTGATTGTTGATCTATGGCCACGCACATTAGCAATTTCGATTTACGTTACCCGGCCCGGTCACTTTTAAATTTTAGCAAAAAAGTTTTCTATGTAAAAATTTATCACGAGACTCGAGATACAATAATAAAATTAGTTTCCTTCATTTTAAAAATTTTAAAAATTAGTAAAATATGTAAATTTTTACCATTTTAACATACCATAAGTCCATATATTATTTTTGAAGTTTGGCAACTAAGACTACCCCTGCGTATCCTTTACAAAATGACCGGCAGCTAAGAATTAAAATATTTATCACGTGATTTCGTGACATTTCTTGAAGTTACGCAGGGGAAATCTGAAATAAGACTCATTGTTTCCAAAAGAAATCGCTGGATATAACGCAGATAACAATGGCATAGTAAGGAATAATAAGATGAGGGACGCTTTTTTTTAAAAAAAAAAAAAGCTATTGACGTCAGGTCAGGTAGGATAATTATTGTATATCGTTATATCTTTGTTAGAAGAAAGTAAATAACAAAATATATAAATGGATGCTATCTTATGATTACGGTAATATTTATTTTTTCTCTATCGGTTTTTAGGGAGAAGTTCGATTTCTCTATAAAAAACAAAGTGATCCATATTGTTTCTAGAAGCCTTTTTTGTAATAAATAAAGATGAAGTATATCATAAATTCATGAATTAGTATCGTTTGGGGCTCTATTTATATTTTATTGTGATGATAATACTTTAGTTTGGCAATTTATATTTAAAGATATAAATGAAATCTTTTATCGAGATAATCAGTTTAGTTTTGATAAATATGAAATATAATGGAAGTACTGCATAAATGACTCTGATCGTCTCTGATCGTTTTACATTTACGGTATAATGCAAATGTTATATGTTGTGTAACATTGCGCACATATTTATTGAAATGTAAAATCATACTTCCCTTTATTATTCAAAATTTTTTTTTAAAAAAAAGAGCTTTGCTTTAATTGAAATAATGATTTGCAAAAGATATAAATTGCTTGAAACTTTCATTTTCTTGTTAGGCTATTTGTTATTTAGGGTTGAGCCATTTACACCTGTAGGGCGTCTTTCTCATTCCTCTGTCCTTGTTGGAAATAAACTTTATTTTTTTGGTGGATCGATAGGTGAAATTTGTTCAAACAAAGTATTTTATCTTGATTTATCTCGATCATATAATTTAGCTACTCCAACTTGGATTGACCTCACGCAAAATTCTAAAATACCATTCAGAAGTTGCTGGGGAACTGTTTCGCTAAATGATAAGGAACAAATTATTTATTTGTTTGGTGGATTAACATTTAATATTACAAACGATGATGTTTTTGCACCATGTGTTCATGCATTTAATTTAAATACCTTATCATGGACTGTACCTAATATCAAAGGAATTCCACCAGAAAGACGAAGAAATATACGAAGTGTTATCGATAATTCTGGAAAAATGTATATCTTTTCTGGTTCATCCACGGGTTCATCAACAACAAAATCTTTCAATGATATGGTTATTTTAAATACTGTTTAATTATCTTGGGCAATCGATACATTCAATCTACCTAAGCCAAGATATGTTTATACAGCAACTTTACTGACTAATGGAGTTATTGTATATATTGGGGGATGTTATTGCTGATATTAAAAAGATCATTCTTTACGATACAAATACATTAGCTTGGTCAGAAAAAGTATGTATTTATTCTAGCAAAAGTAATAATTTTTTAAATATAAATAATTGTTGTGCATTCATTTATAGATAGCGAGAACTTCAAGCGTAATAGAAAATCGTAAAGGACACACGGCAGTGTTAGGTATAAGTTTGTAATTTAACAGTTATGATTTATTTTTAAACAATTATTTATTTATTTGTTTTATTAGCCTCTAGTAGTAAAATAATTATTTATGGAGGTTCTAAAGTTCTTGTTGGCATAACTAATTATGCTCAAGTTTTTCCAGATATGTTTGTTTTAAATATGGAATCCGAGCAATTTGAATTTACTGTACCACCAGTTACATCAAATATTGGTAAAGTTCCACCATCACTGACATATCATACAGCTAACCTATTTGATAATTATATGATTATAGCTTTTGGTAAGTAAATTTTTATATTGTACTATAATAATAATTTAAAGTTAAATTATTAATTTGTAATAAATTCTAATTTTATAATAGGAAATATTACACAACCAAAATCTGCACCATTACCATTCAAGAATCCTAATATTTATATAATAGATATTAGAAATTATACATGGGTTAATTCATTTGAAATAACAAATGTTACAACAAACCTGAAACATCAGCACCAGTCGCTTCCATTAATTCTAATAGTGAATTAGGTACGATTAAAATTATAATCGCAACAATAGGAGGAACTTTGATTTTCATTATTATTATTGCATGTGGATTTTTAATTTATAGATGGAATGAAAAAAGGAAAGCATTCCCCCCTAGTCACATAAATGAGGAACATACTTTACCTGGAAATATCGTAGAACATGATAGAAGTAGTTATATTCCTACTTATTAATTCATCTTCCTAATTAATCCATTACTCTAATTTTGCTATTTAGTTTTTGTTTAATAATTACTTAATTTATATTCAATAATAATTTTCTTTGTTATTTTTTCCATAACTAATTTCTCGAATAATATTCACCTAACAGTTCTTGTTATGTTAAAAGCGGCGAATACATGTTGCTTTAATTTCAAGAAAAAGTTTCTTAATATCATTAAATTTTTATACAAATTTTTAACTTAGAATTTAATTTAACTTTAAGTAACTGTTAATTCACATGTTACGGAGTAAAGCCCTTATGTTTCAACGTTATGTCGCATCATTTATGATAAAAAAATCCGTTTAAACCGAAAGTACCGTTTAAATCCATTTACGGTTTTTACAATTAAATAAATCCGGTTCCAATTGTTGCGGTGCTGTCCTTCAACTGTGGTCAAAGTCCAGCATTCCTACTTGTCGACATCATACCTAGCGAAATGTAATCCTTTGAAGATTATATTACGGTTGGTTAAACCCACTATTTAAATTATTATGACTAAATTTAACAGCTTGTAGAATAAGTGAGTATATAATTAAAACAATGATCTATTCTTATAGGATTCATGTCAATGTGATAGAATCAGCGCGTACAATAATAAGAAAACGTTATCTTAACTTGATACCGAATATTCATATTATGAGTTAAATTGTTATTCAGAACAACTTTGCATGATATTCTCGTAAATGACTTACCAAATAATAAAGCTTTAAATTTTTCTATTTTATTATTTAAAATAAAAGAGCGAAGAAATGAACATTATAAAATCATATTAGTCTAATATAAATCACATCACTGAGTATATAATCTTCTTTGCATTTTCTATAATCTAATTAATGTATAGATTCATTTATATTATGAAAAAGAAATAAATTGCTATTCAAGCAATGTTGACATATACTACTGGATATTGTTTTCGTGAAATGACATTGTCATCGTGAATATGTACTGTACATTAAAAATATCCAACGGATTCCTAAAATTTTCCACAAATTATTTAAGTGGCTAAACGAAATTGTTAAACGGTTTGGTTTCAGGAATAACCAATAATTCTAAAAAAAATTTATTTATATACAGTACACCTATCCTATACAATACCTACTCTTACGGCTCGGTCCATTTATTGAACTTAATTAATACCGGGCTTTAAGATCGAAGTTTATCATATTATATCTAAAATATTTTGATATTAAATTTAATAAGTTAAGAAAGTCAAATAAATAAATTACTTTCTATGGTAATAGAAATATATTTACTGCGGTATTGCGGTAAATAAATATACTACAATATTTATTTTATAATCATTTCACAGCTATACCGAATCTTGCTGTATTGTAGATATAAAGAAGTTTCTTGATCATACTAACTTTTATTCTTTTATATCATACAGTATTAATTTGAAATAAAAGAATTTAACTCGGACAACTAAAATTAATAAATTATATAAGTTCATAACTTTTTCTTGTACATGTAAATTAGATTTAATAATTCTGACGAAATAATAACGTTTCATGATGCATGATATCTTTCTATGACATCTAAATAAAAAAACTGTTTTTTAATAATTATATTAGTAAATAAATTATTCAAATTAGAACTCATTAATCTGTTAAAAACGAATCACTTCCAGAACTAATCTGAAAGCCAAAAGTTGATAGTTATAGAAGAAGCCGCAGCTTCATAAGGTGCAGTCGACTCCCTAAGTCATATTTTTGACTCGAAGAGTGCCTGAGTCAGAAATTGAGTCAGAAATTGAGTATAGGATTCGAGCATCTGACTCAAGTTAAAATTCGAATATTGTGTATTCGAGTATTAACTCGAGTTCAATTTTTTTCATGGGACAGCTATCACCTAATTTGGAATTTAGCAAAAAATAACTAAAATACCATTATTAAACTTTAAGATTTAAATTGTAAATAAGGTGATCATATAATAATTTTAGTATGATTTTCAGTGAATTAAAATAAGAAAAAAAATGTCTTAACAATGAATTATGATTTATATTAATGCAATATATAATGATCACAATACCATAACGATTTTATTAAATAAACTAACATTTGAATTGTTTGACTTTCAGGAATTTCAGTAAATTTTATTAATTTTCGCAAAAAAAACAGCAATTCAATTATATAACTTCTGGTGGAAAAATACTATCAAAAAGACACGTTTCTTTTTTAAAAATAAATTTTCATCTGCTAAATCAGGCTGGAATTTAAGAAATAAATTGTATGATACCTTACTTAATAAAGTGTTGTATGCAATCTAAGTTTATGTTGTTAGCTCGAGTCAAGAATTGAGTAGTTAAATCGAATAAGCATTGAGCTTAGATTCGAATTAATATCTCGAGTTTACTCGAATACTTACTCGAATCTTGACTCGAGTCAATAAAATTTTGAATCAAATCAAAATTTAACTCAAATTGACTCGAGTCATATGAATAGGAGTTCAGACTCTACGACTCCCTATGGAAAAAGATTTTTTTTGTAACTGACGTTTTTCTATACGTACTTTTTCAATTTATTTGTATAAATAATAATTATTAGGAAACATAACATAATCGATTGTCTTAACATAATTATAAACTTTATTTAAGTAATAATCTTATATTAAATTAAATACAGTTTAAAATAACTTTTGATCCCTTTTTATTCTTTATTTATACAAAAATCTCAAAGTTGATAGCAAGTTTTGAAATTAATATGATCGAACAAAAGATCATGAAAATTAACTTTTAGGACTTTTTAGAATTATATACATAACTATTGCCAAATAGTTTCTAAAAGATATTCTTAAATCTGAAGTTTTAATCTGATTTTACCTGATTTGAAGCATAATATTCAAACTAAGGTAGTCTGCTGTCAAAAAGAAATACAGTTATTATTAAGTATAAATTTGTCAAAATGTTAAAACTTTTAAAGAAAGTTACTCCCGAATTTAAAACCCTTAATATTGGGAATATTAGATGTTAGTCTTCCCATTCCAAACTTAGAGGATGGCTAAAATCGTGTTCTATCACGTGACTCACAAAAAATATTTGTCACTACATATCACACCTCTGTTCTGGGGACAGAATGTGTTTCCTTATTTGTCACATATTATTTGTCACTGGTACTATCACATTATGCATAATTCTGGCCAATAAACGGCTTTAACCATCTCCAAACTTGGCAAAAATTGACTTATTCTTTTAAATCACATTTCTGATATGCATTTTGCGAAATTGAGCGTAATAATTTTTTGGTTTAAGACGCTATTATTACTAGACATTTTTGGGTGACATGTTATTTGCAAAATATGTTTTTTGTAAAAAATTTTACGCAGTAATATGTTGTCATAAAATTTATCATTAACATAAAAGTTCATACAAAAGGTATTCGTTTCCTTTAATCGAACAATCGTTCACAAAAGTTTCCTTTAAATTTTACTAATTAAATTATATTAATAAAAACATTTTGAGAGAAATATTGCAATTGTATGTGATTTCTTCTTTCTTTGATATATATCTCGTGATTCAAGTAAAACTATATAAATCACTTTTTGAATATTAAAACTAGATTCATAGTAATGGCGGTCTTATTAACACTTTTTTTTATTATTATGAAAAAATGAAAATAAAAAATTTATGAATCAATAAAGGCCTATTTTATTTGTTTTATTTTATTAATTAATTATTTAATGATCTTTATTTCTTATCTTTTTAGGTTAGTTTCATTCCTTTTTCACAGCTGTGAACAGAAGCAAGATTTTTTTTGAACAGAACAGTCTAGCTCGTTATCGCGGCAAAGGTAAGCTGACTTGATTTTTTTAGTTTTTTTTTTATATTTTTTTTTAATAATTTTATTTTTATTATTTATTTAGATTTGATCGGTTCTTTTCTTAGGCTAAGAACCAGACGAAACTTTCGAAACGAAACCGTCCAGTTCGTCACCGCGGTGAAGATAAGCTTATTAGATTATTTTAGAGCTTTCCAACAGATATCCTATGGATAATTTAGGGTAACCTTTGGGAAATTTTTAAAGTTTCGGATATCCTGTTCCAGATTATTCCTTAAATTCTAAATATATGTCATGTGATGAAACCTTTAACTAATTAAGACAATCCCTAAATAAATGACACCTCTATACCGCTACTATTCCATCTTGTAAATAAATAAATAAATCACTGAAACTTGATTGTCAATTCCTAGATAAGTTTTGAACTACTCCGAAACTTATTTATTTTGTAGGAAACAGCTGAATTCAGAGTTCTGGGTAAGTTTCTTTAAAATTTGTTTTATATAGGTTTCTTTGATAATTTTAAAGTTGGTAAGTTTTATTACTTTTTTCTTTTTGCTTCATATCCTTACAAATCTCTTACTTTTTTTCCTCCTTTTGAACCTGAGTGACGAACATCCTCAAATTCAAAGGAAAGCATCGAAATTATTTTTTTTTATTATTTTAATGAATATGAACTAATTTTCGTTTTCTTTTATATGTCCAAAATACCAGTTCATGTTTTGGACCCCTTTTGAAGGTAAAACTTCAGAATAACTTTTTTTTTTTGTTTTTATTATTTAATAAATGTTGAAGCCGTGATCCGTGACTGCGCTAAAAATAATCATGTGATCTAAATGATCGACATAGTTGCTTTGAAAAATTAAACTGCGCACATTTCAAAGATTACAACTTCTAATTGATTAATATTATACAATAATTATTTAGTAGTTATGGTCACTAAAAATATGAATTAATATAAAATTTTTATTGTAATTAAATTTTTCTGCAATGCCTGTTATAATGCAAATGCTTCATCATTGTCATCCCAGGGAATGTCATTTCTGACTCATCGATT